GACGATACTTGGGCATCCATGTACCTGGTGCGGAGGTCCACGAACTGATGCAACGGTACTTGTAGTGTAAGCTCAAAAAGATCTGCACCGAAACTATCTTCCGCCGAGTTGCAAGCAAGATCTGCCCAGCAAACTACCGGTAGATTGAAGTCACCCAGTATCAAACACCTGTTTGCCGATTGGGAATCGAATAAAATCAAGCACCTCTTTAGACGCACTCCCAGGGCTTCTGTACACACTGTAAGTTTAGCCGAGGAAGTGCTAATCACTAACGACAAAGCTTTGACAGTTTTGTCTGCCAACTGAAACATGTATGTACGCAAGACGTCAAGTTTACAGCTAACGTAAAGCGCAACGCCCCCCGCCTTGTCGGCCACTGCAGCGATCACATCTAAATAGTGCGTAGCCAGACAGATATACTTCATCGTCCGTGATGTCCTGAGACAGCCACGTTTCAGTGGATGTGATTATATCATGATGAGACTCATCTATCAGCAGACTTATCTCGCACATCTTATTTCCTGGGCTGCGCACATTGCTTAACGCTATCTGAAGGTATTCGTAATGTCCAGTCCTTGGTGGTGCGATACCGGGACTGGCACTGGTTGGGCGCAGAAGGACCGCCGACTGACCACCCAAAAGTCCACCAACCCGGAGACCTTGTTCACCGGCCGCTCGCCTGGTTTTGAGGTCTTTGATGGCCCCTTTTAGCTTCAGCCTATCCGCTATCGGCAGGTCTGGTTGAACGCTAACATTAGTACCTTTAGTTTGAAAGAAAACTTCAACAGCGCGTTGCGTTCATTCTGGATGGATAGACCCACACAAAGTTAACGCGGACGATGGTTTGGAGCGTTAACTGGGACGTTACGCAATGTAGTCAGTTTCCTGATGGTAACACCGAGAAACTCAGGCGGAAGAAGCTTCGTTACGCCATTTTAAACCACTGTAGGTCTTTCAACTTGTGTTCAGCAGGAAGTGGGCAGTGGATTCCACTGCGTTACGGAATATCACGCTGCTATCCATGAAAGAATCACCTCGACGGGGTGTATTTTCCCTACGAGTTTTTCGAATTTACATGAATAGTAGCCGGCTTAGCTGCAGGCAATGTGACTGGGCGCACGTTATCAAACGACGCTGAAGCAACTGTCGCCTACGTCTTATGCTCCGGCTTGTTTGACTCATCATTATTGACGCTTTTCAAACTGGCCTGAAGATTACCGGCAGTTCTCTTCCGACTTTTCTTTCGTCCAACGGACGAAGTAGCCGGTGGCTCAACGTCGGTGCCCGCCTCCACGACCTTTACACCCGGAAGACAAGATGAGGTGTTTGTAGTAGTCACCTCCGCATTTTGCCCAGCACGCGATGGGGATGTCTGGTGTTTTTCACCCCCTGACTGCACATCCTTAGATGAAGCTGAGGGGATTTCAGCACCAGTTGGTTTTTCCAGCTCAAGCGCTTGCATCTTGCGCATTTTCTTACCTCCCGGTTTGGGGGCGGAGGGTTTGCGCGCTTTCCTTGCCCTCTATCGCCTATTTTTTTCTGGCCCAGGGGCCCGTGACTTGCCTTCTATTTGAGGGGGGTCAACATTGCCGTCCGAGGCATTTGGGTCAGTTATCTCCAGGTGAACTGGAGCGCCCGTTAGGATGAACGACCCCTCAACGGATGGACTGTCAGCAGAGGCACAGTCCGCTGTCGCATCCTCATTCGCAATACTCAGGTATTTCATGATCAAATCCACTTTAGTGTTGAGCGAGGCAAGAGAGGCAAGCTCGGCTAACGCCTTCTCAACAACTGTGAACCTGGATGCCAGTGCTTTGAATTCAGCACAGGTGATAGCCGGTTGCTTCACTTTTTGAGCGCAGCATTCAGCACATCTAAAAAGAAAGTTTTCTCTGGATGATGATGCTTTTGTACTGCTTCGCTCGGAGGCCGGTACAACTTTGATACCAGCGGGAGCAAACATCACACTGCATACCACCAGATGAATCCGTGATTGGCCTTGAACAGATAGAATTACCGCAAGCTGCATTTGACTCATCAAACGAGAATCAAAGGATTTCATCCGCCTCGGCTGTTAGCGAGCTGACTATGTTTAGAGTGGAAAACGGCGCAGAATTTAAAACACGTATACAACCGTAAAACGACCACAATAAAAAGACAAAACAGGGTGTTAAACGGAGGGAACAATCGCAACAATTACCATTAAACGTCAAGGAGACGCCATATCCAGTACTACTTTACTCGATCCATGGTACCTTGAATCAGAGGAAATTTGACAATAACCAAATTTCGCTTCATGTGTTTATTCAAACACCGTTTCTCACAATATTTCAGCTAAGAAGTTCGATCAGTATAGCACGCCAAAAAATCGAGTTACCACATACCACTCATCCCTTATAGAAGGACGTCCAGCTGTTTCTTGTGACGTGAACGCACTGTAAAGTGTTTACTTGTTTCTGACCTTCCGTGGGTAACGATACACTGGTTACTCTAGCAGAGGAGCGCTTCGGGCTGCGCAGTATTTTATTTCTTTTCCAGCGGATGCTCTCAATTGACTAGACCTCACATTTGAAATGACAAAGCAGTGAAGTTTCCTACCGCGTTTTGACAAAATGTTTTTGTGTCTCACGAAACTTATTTCATCATTCCCAACAGGTATCTACATGTGCCGTCGCATTAATGGTCAGATTGATATTTGTTATGGACAATTTATCCTTTAGCAGTGTTTAAGCAAACTGATACGGTTAACGGCCTGATCAATTGCACTGCTCCTAAGAAATCGCGCAAACGCGCTCCACGGCTAGCTTGCATCGCGATGACAACAATCGGTCTAATACTCTCGCGTTGTTAGCGGGGAGCCCTCTTTTCAGAAGTTTGAAACATTTTGTAACAAGGTAGTGTGCATCGAATGTCAATGTAAAACCCTGCGTCGTCCATCACAAAGCACTTCGTTACGACGGGACATCACATGGACACATCAAGCGCTTTCAAAATACTGCTGCTTGACATTAATCACAAACGGCTGGCAATCAGCGAAACACTGCTCATCTCGAAGGGTTTTCCAGCACGTTGCGCACAAAAACAATTGAGGCACTCCGTTAGATTGCCACGATTCTGATGATTTTACTGATGTTTGTTCATGAACGTTTGTTTCACGTTTGTACTTTTGTATCATTCTTTTTTGAATTGCGTCCGCGACTGACGAAAGCATTCAAAATGTTAACATTTCATGATATTTGTCTTCTCTGCACGTTGATGAATTGCTTAAATGGGGCAAAATGTTTCACAAATCTATGGTTGCCCAAGCTGACTTGTAACACCGTTGTACTTTCCCTTCACAAATTTGAAAACAACACTTGGGAACAATATTTTGATCATATAATCTGGATTCAGCTATTTTTCATACAGTAAGTCTCCCTACCGCTCCTGTTCCACTGAGACCAATATGACAGCTTGTAGTTTTGTTCCAAGTTAAAAAAATTGCTGTGTAAGTCCAACTTGGACAGACATTAGCACTAGACCAGTACCCATTGCCGACGCTTCGCTGCCGCGCAACCACCACCGATCGCACTTGGGCTAAGGATACTGCGAGAGTCGTCCGGTTCCTGGGCAGGTTACGGGCTGCCAATCTAGACAGACTAGACTCACGAGTTACCACTTAATGCGTTTATCTGTTTCACCCTACTCGCGGTAACGAGTAGGTCGGTCAAACTGAGATTGTCCGCAGAGATTTTGAAGCATATTCCTCGAAACCTGGTCGCCAGTGATCTGAAGCTGCCTGCTAGTTCGATCGCTCGACACATACTTGACCAGCCCATGTGTGGAAACCTATGTGATCAACAGAGTGCCGTCCGCCTGCTTCGGTTTGCTAGATCTTCGGCTAACATACTGAGTTCGTCGTCATTCTCGCCTTACCCCGACGAGGCTGGTGATCATTTTCCCTTAAGCGGAGTATCAGCCCGTGACCTAAAGGACCGCGAGCCTCCCTCCTGATCCGAGAACGCATGTTCAAGTGTGTGTAGGGGACCAGGCGACTCTCGCAGTCTCTTTAACCCTTGCGCGACTGTTAGTTGTTTCGCATCAGCCATGCGTCGGTACTGCGTACCGGCGTAATGCCGATACCTTTTTAAGCGGTATGCCGGCCAACGTCAGATGAAGATTGACCGTCTTCGATTCACCAATGACCTTACACCTTGATTGTTTCTACACGCAACCTAGCAATTCTACTACTTGTATCTAAGCAGCTGACGTCAATACACGTAATAACTTCCTGTGGAAATGTACTCCTTCTTGCCATTTCGAAATAGTTGTTGAGCAAAAGCACCCCTTCCTCCTGGGAGCTAACCTTGTCCTCTGCATGTTGGAAACGCGTATCCCAGTGTACGATGAATATACTCGCTATAGCACAGCAAGTTCCTGAGTCACGGCGACCGTTGCCCTTCTGCCCTGACCCAGTGGTCTTGACCACTGCCTCGAAAGGCAAGTGTCGCGGTTTTCAAGCCCCACAGAGCACAGATAAAATGCACAATGCTAACCATTCCCAAAAGTACGCAGCGACTTTTGTCTGTGTGTAATGGCTTTCTGAGTGAGCTTATCTGCGACTAACGTCCTCTGATGTGTATAGAAAAGTTTATTTTGCCTACTATCCGATCGCAGCGCACATTCTCTTATGGCTTGTAAGGTCAACGACTGATCTGCTACTGTCCATGCCGGGGTTTTGAAATGACTCACATGTTTGCAATCTATTCGTCCTGTCGCCCCAAACGCTTCTTGGTTTCACTCCAGTCGAACATTCCCGGCTATATCATGTCCAATCGACCGCTGTGCGAGACAGATTGCTCAACTTTGAGTACGAATTTGCTGGTCTGCTAAACTCTGTTACAGCTCATAACGCCCATTAGTTTGAAACAGATACCATTCCGATGACCTTTAGATTATTATTAATACAAATCGTCTGCTTACTATATCTGTCTTGATCAATGCGTTTCTTTTCTTCCCAGCTCTCTCCACTACCGGAGGAATTCTCGCACCCAACTGCGTCAGCTTCCGGCAGGTCTCGCATCGCGGGCTACGACAACGGCGTTGATGACATAGATGATGAACAAGTCCAACTGGCCATGGCAGTGTGTCAAGCAGAAATGGACCAAGAGAACTTGTCCTTACAACGTATCCTGCAGATTTCTCAACTGGAAGCTCAAGAGCATGATTTCCAAAAGGCACTTGAGTTGTCAACCACGGTAATACACCCCTTCATAGTTCGAATCAACTGTGTTCTATCACACTACTGCTTTTCTTTGATCTCTGTGCAACAGGACTGGATATCCTCATTCTTACTCGCGTTATTTCAGATGATCCGAATGGTCCCATCTACCTGTTGCTCAATCTCATTGCTGAGCTGCTCTTACGTTTTGGTGTAATAGCTGGCTGTATCCTGATAGTGTTCCCATATTAATGGCAACAAATATCTATCGTATCGCCTATCATGCCTATAGCTATTTGCTATACACAGCGACCCCATCTCACTACTGGCCTGCTCTGTCTTGATTCCGTCTTTTACCACGTTTTTGCTTCCCATGGCTGACTGATATCCGCCGGACAACAGCACTCTTTCGCATGTGCATCTCATCCTGAAGATGCCGGACGCTGTTGAATGCGTCGTGGACTTGAACCGAGTATCCACTGAAGATGATTGCTAAGTTTATTTGCCTATGTACCACACATCTTTTGTACCGGTCATACGATCGAAGATGTTGCACTTGTTGTGAGGCTTTTCAAAGCTTCAATCAAACGCACATGTAGCAAAACAACAACTTACCCGTCTATTGCGCCTGGATTGCGGCCATTCTTACTGTGCGCATCGAACTGTTGTTGACAATCATCTTTCAATGGCATTGCCAGCTTAACCCTGTTCGACCACTGTCTCTGCTGCAATCATCACTGTCATCTGACCTAAGCACCAGGTGCTGGTATTTGGCCGCGCATTGAATTCCTTATAGAACCCCGACCACCGTTGCTGGCCAGTCCTGTCCTGTGCACAACCCCTGATCTGCCTTGCCCTGATTTGTACTGTTTATCAATATTGCTGTTATTTCGGCTCGGTTCGACCTAGTATATCAGTTATGAGCCTTGCGATGAGATGTAGGTGATCCAGTCGGCAATATAACGGTGCTAACGATAATAATAATAATAATAATAATAATAATTGGAATATAGGAAAAATTAGTAGGCAGAATATTGTGGGAAGAATAGTTGAGAGTGGGAAATTAGCGAACGAATACACGGGCGCTTCTGACTTCGGGGCTTATCCGACATAGTATCTACTTATGGATGTGTCCCGTCCCGAGGACTCTCACCAGGAGCACAGCAGACATTTAGTCATCTTCGGTTCTTCAGTGAATTTCTTCTCACCCATTCAATCGTCCTTGATTGGAAGTTTCGAGGTTTCACTCAAATAGACTCCATCTTGGCAAACACTACACTCGGAGGCTGGATGGCAGGCATGCGTCGCCGTCACCGTCCATCATCAAGCCAACGGAGGCGATTTAAAACCAACAAGCACAAGTTTTTTTCACCTTGCAAGCTGCCTCTGCGCTAATGGTTTAACGATTGAGGTCTCTTTACACATCTCCAAGACTCGGGTTACTTTTCCTAACCGCCATCTCTGGCGTCGAAGCGATCCGATTCTCTCACGGAAGGACTGTGTTTACGATGCCACAGTGAGAGCGGTCCCGCTCTATGACTGCGAGACTTGGCCTGTTCGCGCAAAGGATGTTGAAAAGCTGTCTGTATTTGATCACCACTGCCTCGGAATCATTGCTGGTGAGCGATGTCCACATCACTAGTAATGAGCATGTTCGACGGAGGATTTTCAGATCAGCGACACTTTGCCGTCCACTGCGCCGCCTTCAGTGGCTTGCGCATGTGCTTCTCATCCCTGCGCATCGTTAACCTCTCCGTGCCCTCTTCGCACGCCCATAAGTCAGCTGGAAACAAAAGCATGTTGGCCAAAGTATCCCTTAGGACAGAGTTATGAAGTAGCTAACATCAAAATTAACCATGGTCGGACACTGTCGAGTCTCTGGTTAGGGCGCAAAGATCACGAACATGCATTACTGGAAGCCCTCTCGGATATTGCGAGAAACAGTGTACCATGGCGACATGTTGTGACACTACTCTCATGAACACTGTTTAATATTCTTCTTCTATATTTTCGTTTGTTTATGGTATTTCTCACACGTTTTTGACTCCAATGATCCACCTGCTTTATGGCGTTGCTTGCTAAAGAACGGGGTGGCAGAGAAATATACCGCCATCTTGCGAGCATTTTATTTTCATATATCCGGCAGAGTGACGGTCTGTGGCAAGCTTTCCTCTCAATTCGCTGTCAACAACGGTGCGCGATAAAACTGCCCTATGTTCCCATTCCTCTTCAACTTCCTAACCGAAAACGTTGTGTCGAATCCTGTAGAAGAATTACAACATTTTGGCCGAGAGCTTCTACCGGGTGAGCGCGCGACGACTTAGAGTATGCCAATGATATCGCCTTACTTGGTGACGAGCTTCAGCGTATGCAACATTCTGGATCGTTTGACGGTCGAAGCATCAAAGTATGGCATGAGCTTCGCCCCATCGAAGTGTAAAGTACTGCTCAAAAATCGGCTCTCATCTGCTCCCGTGCTTACTCTCGAAAGTGGACAACTTGAAAAAGTAGATAGTTACGTCCACCTTGGGAGCTGTGTTTCTGCTGACGACACTATTAGCAAAGAAGTTTCTCTTCACATCGCTAAAGCCCGATCATCATTTGCCAATTTGAGGCACTTGTGGCGTCGTCGCAACGTCTCATTCTCGCTAAACGGCCGTGTTTACAGCGCATCTGTTCGTTCACTGTTGTTGTATATGAGGGAATCTTGGCCGATTTGCGTGGAAGACATGCGTCGTTCTTCTGAATTCGACAACAATTGCTTAAGGAGGATCGCTCCTGTTTGGTGGTAATATGAGTTAACAGTAATGAGGTTAGAAGTAGCATCTTGAGGAATGCGAGTATTCCTTTCAACAAACTGGTTTTGCTGCGCCAGCTGACATGCTTCGGTCATGTCCTACGCATTGCACCCGAGCGTCTACCGCGTCGCACTCTATTCGCTCGTCAAGTGTCTGACTGGAGGCTACTGCGTGCTGGTCAGTCTTTCACTTGGCGACAGCACATAAATCGCTGACGTCGTGTCTAGCCGCTGTTGGACCTGTAAGTCTTCCAGGATGGGGGCCCAAAGATGAGGAGTGCCAATAGCTTAACACTTGTAGACAAGGTTCGCAACCGGAATCAGTGGGAGAATTGTGTACAGAATTGTACTGATACACATGTTTAATACTACGAAATAACAAAAAGAGAAAAATTGGCGGGCGCAAAACAAACTAAAAATGTTTGTTCTACTTTTTGTCAAAACGTTCGTTTCTTCTTGCGCCATAGTAGCTGAAGTGTGTTGCTCACGTTCAATTACTATGCCACGATGATTATGACGCAGTGACTCCCCTGTATCTGCCAATCTCCATGGCTTTGTTGGTTCTATGTCTAGTTGCTAGACTGTTGAGATTACATATACTAAGTCAAGAAGTCGTTCACCTGGGAGCAGCTCCATACCTTCTAACTCGTGTCCAGTGAACACGATCTGCATGAGTTCGTCAATGGCGAAGTTAAAGAGGAAAGATAACAGCGGGCATCCTAACCCCGTTGGAGCTATGAAAGGACGGCGACAGTTTGTCGTAAGTCCTCACTCTGCCCGAGATACGCGCGTAAATCGCTCGCATAATGTTCACATACTTCTTGGGCACAACTTTCCTCAGCAGATACTCCCAAAGGGCACGTCGATCCACTGAATCGAAGGCACCTTTGATGTCGAGGAACAGGACAACGGTGGGCCAGCGACTGACATAAAGTGAACATGTGATCGACGTAGTTTTGCATACTTCGTGTATGCATTGTGTCCGTGACTGATTGACTGGTAAAATAGTGCTATATTTGACTTCGTTCTGTGTTGCTCAATCGTATATTGCTGGAGAGTAGGTGAATGAGGGTTTGGGAATACATTTCGAAGAAGATTCGGCGGATAATGATGACAGGAGAGTGTTTTTGAAGATTGGGTATTGTGAAATGCATATAGCACATGATAATCATGTTGAGCGAGTGTCCCATATTGCCGCTTGCCGTATATCGGTATTGTTGCGCATAACGCATTCGATGACTGGAAGCCGCGAAGAGATGGAATTTGCAGCACCAGTCGCAGCAAACCCATGTTAGGATTGGGTTGCCACTGTGGCCTCCAAGGGGACGGCCACCGGATGCCCACGCCTACCGAGGGACCATAGGTGGCTTGCGCTGCACTACCCACATTTCCATCCACACACCCGATATCCGGTGTAAACCCGAAGGAATAAGACCGGGAGGCATGTGGATGGAAACCACGTGATAGGCTCACCTTTTCATGTCCTCGTACCGAAGCTTCGGTTTCCCCACACTCTGTTAACCTTATAGTAGCAGCTTCGGTATCCGCGTCCAATTCATATGACACACATGACCGAGCCACCTCAAGTGTGTCAGCAAAAGTTTGCAGTCCACTGCATATATTCCAATTCGGCGCAACATTTCCGTGTCTGCAACTCTGTCGTACCAGCCGATGCGCTGAATTCTTCGCAGACGCTGGTGATGAAACCGCTCGAGATATCGCACATACCGCCGGTACATCGTCCATGTTTCGCTGCCGTATAGAAGAACGGACAGCACCACGGACTTGTAGACCACCAACTTCATGCGGACGGTGAGCTGACGCTTGTTTCACACTCGGTACTCGAGCTTCCCGAATGCCGCCGCTGCCTTCGATACTCGGATACGCAGCTCACTGTGTATCTGTTTGTCAGTCGAAACCACACTCCTAAGGTAGTAGATGTGGGAGGTGGTGTCCAATAATTGGTCACCAATTCTGATTTGCGGCAATATTACAGCTTACACCTCCAGTGAAGGTTGAAAAAGACCGACAGTTTTGCGTGTGTTGATGGTAAGCCCGAACTTGGCCGTTGTCGAAGCCAGAGCACTAGTGGTGCTGCAACTCATCCGCGCTGTGTGCCACCGGCGCGCAGTCTTTAGCAACCAGCAGCATTCGGATAGTTGTCCCACAGACTAAGGCTCTCGAACCGAAACGACGGATGTTCAGCAACCCACCATAAATGCGGGGCTGCACACGAACAC